TTATTATTATATCTACGTGCCAATAGGTATCTGGTGTATACTATTATGAAATTTACACCGTCATTTGATATAAAATCCAACGACGATGTCGTAATGGCGATTAATTATTTTTGGAGCTTTCCTGTACATGCTATACGGTGACGTAAATACGCGATTGATGTGACTAATAATATGATATTATTATATGTGATGTATAAATATAAAAATAATATAACATTTATGGGTATGAGTTATTTCTTTGCTTATTACAGTCGGCTCGTCCGGTGAACCGTGTGCTTTTTTTCTTTCTAATAGCTGCGAATGTGGTTAAACGACGACGAACCGACAATAGTTATGTAGCTGCAGACGGCGATTTATTAAAAAAAAAAAAAAAAATTATAGAAAACCACAGGTATTCTCCGGACGCGCATTCAAAAATAACAACGTACCTTATATTATTATTATATACAACTATTATACGCGGTGATGATAATACTAATATATTCGTAAAAAACTGACGAAAACGATCAAGTATTATTCGTAAACATCGATACATGCATTATATGGCAATACGCATATGATGGTGTAAATGTGTACAATTTTGTGTACACACAATAATGTCTATAATATATGTATTATAAAGGATATCCCACGAAAATATACCCATTGCAATATCTCCGGAGTCAAAGTCTGTTTTTGTTTTTTTTACTACGCACATGGATTACATGCATAAGGATTACAAATATTTATGTTTGAATTGAATTTTATGTTTTCGTAAAAAAACTTAAAAAATAACTTTTTATTATTATTTTTTTGAACAATTTAAAGATAGAGTTTATTCTTTTGAAAATGATGACGTTTAACCTTTTTATTTTCATTAAATTCGTGATTTTTAATAATTGTTTAAAGTTCGGAGATAAGTACCAGCAATTATGCAGCAGGCTGTAATCGCATTCGCTAATTGATTATTATTGTTATGGCTAATTGATTATACACTTTTATTCTTTTAAAATGTAAAAATTATTAAAAATTACGAGTTTAATGAAAATTAAAAGTTGATCATCGATATTTTCAGAAAAATAAAATTCTATCTTCAAATTTTTCAAAACATAAAATAAAAAGTTATTTTTTTAAGTTTCCTACTAAAACATAAAAAATTAATTCAAAAATAAATATTCGTATTCCTTTTTATCCATGTGAGTAACATAAAAAAATAACAGAATTTGATTATCCTTATTATCTCCGAAGATATCACAATAGATATCTTCGTGGGATACCCTGTAGAGGACACTGTATGCACTGGAGTTTTGGGTAAAAAACCGTCCCATATACAGGTGCATCGATAATCTTTATAAAACGTCTGCAAATAAGTAATACATTTACAGATCGGATTATCATGATGTAATTATCAATAATAATAATTAATCAATGCTAGACTGTTAAGTATTATCTAGATTAATAATTAACTATCTGTTATCTTATTTAAACAATTAACAGAGTTCTTATCTTTATCTACGACGAATAACTGAATTATCTAGATCAATTATTTTATGTACTAGCTAGTTTTAAATGTATGCTTTTTATTTCTATAAACAACATTTCTATTATTTAAACATAATTAGTTCAATAATATTTAGTTTGAAATCAAATTGAAAGCCCAATTTATTTATTTAATATCAGATTGTAGTATAATTATACAATTATCGCTAATTATATATTTAATTTTCAGAAATTAATTTATGAATAAAGTATAGGTACATGGGTAAATTATAAAAATTTAAAATTCGTATTTAAATCAATAGTGTTTTATCTTTATCAGATAAAATTTACCTAGATAATTTACACGTCACACGTGTACTAAATAATTATTTATTATCTTTATCTAGATAAGTATCAAGATTCAAGTACCTTTTATCTTTACCTTGATAAACATTATTCGATTATATTCTTTCGTTATCTTGTTACATTTTTAGAGGAGCTTAGGGAGATATATCACACCCCTTGACGTTGTTTTGATATTGTCAATTATTATTTATATGGCTTTAGGCATATATTTTTTCGATTCAACTTTTTGTCTTCCGAAACTGTGTACGTGTTACAAAAGAATAATTACTTTATGTTAATCGTTTTTGTAGTGTTAAAACATATTTTTATTTTGTAAGTTAAAGCCATTAGAGGAATAAGGGCGAGACTATTAAAACTTCTCTATTGTTTTTGTTTTTGTTTTTTTTTTTTTTTAATTTTTAAACACTGTTTTGTGGATTCGAACCCCGATTATTATATTATTATGCGAACAGCTGAGGCCGGGCGATTTTTACGGCGGCGGCCGCGTACTCGAACGAAATCGTCGACTTATCGTTCGTTAATCGCGGTCGCGCCGTCCGGTAACCGCGGTAAACCCGTCATCGTAGATAACTATAATAATAACATGGTACGGAAAAAGAAAATAATAATAATAATTATAATAATAACAATAATAGTAAAACGAGTCCCGAATAACGCGCTCGGCGCGCGTGAATTGGCATACGAAACGCGAGGGCCCGAAATACAAATAATAATATAATAGTTACGATCGTCGCGATATCGCGCGTATCGCAATAAAATATGTAGTACAACCGATCCGATGTGAAACCAACACGCGGACGCGGTACGTGCAGCGGCCCGGGCCCGTGCATCGGCGGCGCCGGGTATACGGAGTGTTCGTCGGAATGACGCTTGTATATCAATGCTATTTGGATTTAATGACCGGCGCACGAGCGAAATATTAACGACCCCGGACGCAAAATTCGATGACATTAATAAACGCCGTGGATCGCGCGTATCTACAAAACCTAAATCGTTGTAATAATACGCCGGGTAACAGCGTTCGAAATAGGTGTAACTATATGCAGGATACCGGGGGACGGTATCCCTTCAATTTTTACATTTCCCGTGGGTCGTGTGTCTTTCTTTCCTGTATAGTATACACTCTCCTTATAGTATATAATATATACAAAGAATATCGATTTGTGCATAGGTGATATTTTACATAGAAACGGTTGTTTTTTTTTTTTTTTTTTAATTAGTTTCACAATAATGATGGTTTTTTCAATATTTCTCTCACCCCCCCCCCACCCTAGTTATTGAGGAAATTACGAGAATAATAATAATAATAATAATAAAAAAAAGAATTTTCCAATACACCGACTACAGGACAACATTTTCGCTACAAAAAAGCTCACTTGTCCGCATTTTTCGATTAGAGCTAGATTTCTGGTATAAAAGTCATTAATAGATACTAAAATAAAAAAATAAAAAGCACACATTGTACGCTCAGAATTTATAACAACGGTATGGAATGTTTTGCGTATGGATCAAAGTCATTGACGATAAATCATGAAAGCGGACAAAAGGAAAACTGATACTTTTTCGCAAATTAGTGCTAATGAAAGTTATTAAAAATCTGGACGGATAGGTTGCCAAACAATTAGACAGGGCCAGATTTTTCGAGAGGGGGGTTAAGTTGGCTGCAGCCTAGGGGTCCTCCATCCATGGGGGACCCCTAGGCTGATACCCTACCGCTGTGTAATTATTTCACGGTAAATACGGGAAAATCTATTTAATTTAAATTCACACGTATTACAAATTTAAAAATATAAAATTATTTATTATTTAACTGTGTTAACGAATTTTCTCGGAAAATAAAAACTATTGCATTGTATTGTATTTTATTTCTGCTACTTTTGCACATTTTTAGTGGCTCCCTCTGGATCAAATAATGAGCTCAAACTCGAAAATCAGAGTTGTTTTATAGGTGGATTGAATAAGTGATAAAATTTTGGTTGAATTTCACCATGTTGATGCAGAAGAGAAGTGTTTTTTTTTTAGATTTGTTAACCCCTCTACAGATCCCACCTCCAAAAGAAGCAAGGGGATAAAATATTGTATATACAGTATGTATCAATATTATGTCCCCGTTAGGGGTTCAAACCCATCCCCAACTATATTGCTATGCTCGAATGTCATTATTTCACAGAAAATATCGAGTTTTAACAACTCTTATATAGACTAAAATGTAATTAAATTGCTAACTATAACCATTTAGGATTAAATAAAAAAAAAATATATTATTATAACGGGCCGAGGCGTCAATTCAGCTGGGAAAAATTCGACTTTAGTGATGGAGTTCCACTGCTCACGAATGTTTTGACTAATTATCAAATTTCGATTGAATGGGGTCCTCGTATAATATATTCCGCTCAACGGCCACCGCTCAACAGCTAAATTTCGCCCTGCAAAGAGATGGAACAATTTACTTTACATAACGGGATTAGTGACTCCACATTAAAGACGATCGGGGAGAAAATTCAAGAAACGTACTTGATTTATATTAGTATATACTTTTAAAAATCATCTTATAAAGAGCATCGCGTGGATAACCACCATAATAGACGGGAAAATCGAACGGGAACCGGGAAGACGAAGGCGGCGAGGCTGTCGCGTATGAAACGAATTATTTTAGATATTCAAGAATTGGATCGTACAACAAGGATCTAAAAGAAGTCACTGCGAATTGATAAGAACAAGGGAGGATCATTATTTGTAACGTTTAATCGATCTGCGGATCGGGGAACAAAAATAAGACAAACTTATACGACCTGCCCGGGCCCTCGCTATAATTCGACACGTCTATTTTCATAATGATTTTCTGTCCCTTGTCGAACGATTTAATATTGATTTCAATAATTTCGAAAAACCCAACGATCGATAACGTCATCGCTTATTGACCGCGACGACGGACTGTATCGGATCTCACTATCTCCGTTGTCGTACGCGCTAAAATGCCACCGACGCCGCGGTCAACGATGTCACGTAATTAGTACGCGCATGGAAGCCAGGAAAGTGGCGGCGGGAGAGATGGTGTGCCAAACGGAGACGCGCACAAGGTTTAGGTCACGGCCAGGTGGGGCGGACGAAGTCGCCGCCGCCGCCATGCGATATATAAATATGAAAACGCATCCGCGACCATGACACTGGACCACATCGAATCGTATCGGCCGGTATCATATTATATTATTATATGCACACGAGTCGTCCTGCTGCTGCAATCGCCAACGTTCAGCCGAACAACACTAGCAATCAGCCTGCAGGCCCGCGGACGTACCCGTACAGTTCGACCGGACCAAACTCGGGGCACACCACAGCTGCTGCACACGTATAACCCATAATACCGTGGCTTTTGACAAAATGATCGCGAAACGCCTGTACCTGCTCGCCCTGGTGGTCCTGTTGGCGGTCACGCAGACCCTGTCGGCCTCGGCTCAGCGGCCCAACAGAGGGCTGGTCCGGTTCGCGGACAACCAACACATACCGATCAAACCGAAGGCGGACGCGGTCAAGACGAAATCGTCGTCCTCGTCGCCGACCAAAACCAAAAAGCCGGCCATTCCCGTGCAGGTGGACGCCAAGAAAAAGACGCCTGTCAAATCGACTACCGTTTCTCTCGCAAAAAGTGAGTATTTTTCAATATTATAATGACATTAGTCGTATTCTATCTGTATACACTGCTGCGAGCATATCGTAATAAAAGGCGCCTCCGTTGTTTTAGAACTTTTCTCGATATCGGTTAGGTATATATGAACCCTAATTATTCGACTCTGCTATTTTTCTCTTAAAACACGATAAGAAAAATGCAATAACGTTGGTTCGTGCGAAAATCAGATACACATTTTAAATCATACGTTTATTTTTTTTTTTCGAGTTACGTCAACTTTTCAAATGGAATTCTCACTGATATTCTAAGAAATATTAAAATTCGCCATCAAAAAATTGTCGCCAAAACAATTTGTCTAAAGATATATAAAATCGAATAATATATTATGATCTTTGTTCGCTTTGTCGCTTTTTGACAATATTTGACGTATAAATTTAAGTACACGTTTCTCAGATACCTTTACTCTATCGTCTTTTGAAATAAAATAACGCGCATTATACGCGCGATCGATGATTGGTACAATATGCGTTCAGTTGCATTTTTTTTTTTTCAAATTATTATCGAACCCTTTAATATTTATATTTCAATAATTATCTATATTCTATATCATGTAATAATACGAGTGTACGATAAATTAAACCATTCAACCGTTTATGTTTATAGTTTTAATTCGTATACAATTCTAAAATCTATATTTCGTTAGATTTCGTTTGGACGTATACCTTTATAGTTGTAAAGGAGTCAACAACATATAGTAATTTACTTTCATATTTAAATCGGTTGAATTTATTAGTACAATATTACTATAATAATATATACTATATAAGTAGATACAAAAAATATCCAATGATTTTTTTTTTTTAACTACGATATTAAATCATATATGTTTCATTGTTAGTAATATTAAAATAATTATGACTGTTTCTTTTATATATTTTTATAAAAATCATATCGAAAAATATAGTGATTTTTTTTATCGATGGATAAGGCAAGGTGGATTATACGATTATGTACCCACCGTGAGGGCATTCCCACGCCTACGGTATTCGATTTTAATAAAAGTTTTACCTACATTTTTAATAACGTATCGACGGGTAATTGACATCAAGGACCATTTTTTTATTTTTTTAACAAAATTTAGTTTTATTGTAATGCATTATCATAAATTCAGAAATATTATACTTTGACAATAAAAGTTACGCACACATTTTATTACCTAATGACAAACAAGCCGAGAAAATGTATAACACAATTAACCACATGATGGTTTTGTTTTTTAATTTTCAGATTTGTAATATACTATTAAAAGCGGTAAAGGGTATGTAATAGGAAATATGTATTATATTCTTCATGAATATAGGCATAATATTGTAGTAAATTTTGAAAAACCAAAAAGCACGTTTAAATCTCAATTTTAAGTATTCATTGTAGAAATCTGAATAGGTAATACGTATTCAAATTAAATATAGCTAAATAATTTTTTTCTACAGTATGTCACATTTGATTTTAAAATAATAATACGTTGATGTTCTTACGTCAAGTACACAAACTCATAGCTGAAGAAGAATAGAATAATTAAAATTATCGACATCTTCTATTTAAAAATATAATAATATTTTAAATATACGAAATAGTTGAACTTGGTAAATTATATATTGCGTATAGATCAACCCGAAGTTTTTTTTAACCTAATGTTTATGGTTGTCTATTAATGATAATGTCTATTTATCAATTAATGTTTTCTTTTTAAAACCAATTTGATATTTCTATTAGACAATAGAATTTTTTTCAATTTGAAAAAAGTCATATATATCGATAACAATTTTCCACTCAATCCATAGGTATATAAGTAACTTCCAATTTCGTGGCGTTAAAATTGTTTCGTTCGCTCATTTCATTTACCCGATAAACCTGAAGCATTCCGAATTCGACTCTTTGTAATATTTTAAAGGGTAATTTGGTTAAGCAATAATCATCAGGCTCTGGTTACGAACAAAAACATTAAATATTATTTTAATTTTTAACTAGAATTAAAGAAAAAAAAAAATCCCACATTTAAAACAGCCCTTGGAGTATTTCTCTTTTTCCAAAAAATGATTATAATACGTAGTTGTACCATGAATTTGTAATCATAGGCTGAGATACGGAGTATGGCGTGTATGCTTTAACACACCCTAAATATCAACTATGATCTAAATTTTTTCAAATTGAGGAAAATTTATTTTTCATTTATTATGTATATTTAAATTAACGCCTAGTCAAATTAAAAAAAAAAAAATTAAATTTTGTAAAATATAGACCTAATATCAAATAAAATTTAAAACAAATATCTTATTGTATTAAAGTTTAAACTTTAGTTAGGACTATTAGGAGCACACCCTAAAAATACAATCTAGCTCCGCCTATATTAGTAACTCAAAAAGAATTGTTTTGATTTTTTTTTCTATATCAAAAGCGTTTAAAACATTTTAGAGTTCTGGATAAAAAAAAAGTCTATTTGAAACAAAAATATTTTATAAACTATTAGCTATAGAACAATTGTGAATGTCCATTTGAACAGTGAACGTTTATTAATCGCACGTTTTGACCCCTTAATATTCCGTAGTCGTGGACGTTCCACTTACCGAAACATTGTATAGTATAAATTAAAGTACAATGCATGTATAATCCGTATGATTTTATGTATAAGAAAAAAAAAACATGAAATTCTCATCGATTTCCCTTTACGACGAACATTTTTATCGATCAACACATGTACTTAAAAAAAAACGTGTTTCTTTCAACAAAAAAAAAATTAAAAAAATACGAATGTGTCGAAGTTTTATCGTTCTATTTTTAGCACCCTTAAATAATGATTGATTTTAATGCGCGTCTATTATACGGTTTTCATAATGTGACAGATCGCTTCGAATGCACGTGCATGTTTAATGCGAATCGTTTCGTTTAAATTTTATTTTTCCACACATTTTCGGCCTCTCTAACAAGGCCGTTTGCTGACCGGGCAACCAGTTTTTATCGCACAGTAGTCGTAAAAAAAAAAAACAATCTAACGGATCATTATGAAATCGTCTCATGACGATGCTGTAATCGCGGCACATCATCACGTATTACAGCACAGCATCTATATATTATATCATTATACCAATACCTATATAATATATAATCCAATACCTACCTAATACTGTATTAAATTATTATACACCGTAAATGATACGATGATCTTTTAAGTAGAGCTGTGCGAAAACAAAAAAAAGATCGACGCAATTTTTAATTGGTCGTATTTATATTATTATATTATACTGCAACCACATATAGCTCTCCTGCGTCCGGTCATCGTCTCGGATGACTAATCCGTGATGCGTTTATATAGTAATTTCCATCGAGACGTCTCGTTATACTACCTCGTGCGTACCTATAGGTACAGGATATCACGAAGAAAAAAAAAACGTTCGCCGGGGCAGTATGTATAGTTTTATACGCGAATAAAATAAAAAAAAAATAAATAAACCGCTTCTATTAAAAACTCGTATCGGACAAAAAATAATAATAATAATAAAACGGTACGACGACGACTATAGTACGTAAACAAACGGTCAGCATCCGGCGGTGGCGGTGTAATAATTCAGAACGGCGACGGTGCAACAGGTTTCCCAGCACAGTTTTTCCCATTTTGCGTCCGTCTCCTTATATGGCCGTATACCTATATAATATATAATATTACAGTTCGGCCCGGTGAGACACGTTCGTTAATTTTTGCAATTGATATATTATATTATAGAATAATAATAATATATATATGTATATGTATATACTAGCTATATAAGAATATAAAACATTTACTCGCGCGCAAAAAAAAAATAATAATAATAATAAAAATGCTTTTAATATAAATTTTTTTTTCATCGGTTCCCACCGTAAACGCGTCACCGGTATACGTATACACACGCATCCAGATCATTATTGGTCGTGTGTGCAGTACATACTCCAGTGACGGTATTTCACACATATATAGGAGTAGTATACATAACGTACGACAACGCGCACACAAACGAGACGAGAATGCTTTATTATTATTGTACGTATACAGTGTGTGCGTGTGATTGATGGTGAGAAGCCACGATAATATATAATATATACATATAGGTATACCGTACGATCGTATATTATATTATTGTATCGAATATGCCCAGTGATAATGTGCCAAAACCGAAGCGTTAAAGTCTCTGCCAAACCGTCTGTGGTATACGATGTTGTATATAATATACAGAAATAATATTATTATGTTCTCGTGTATTATACCTATCGATCTACAATACGGACGCGATACAATACTGTAATAGTATTAGTACCGACAAATTATTATAATATATAGCCGTGGATGTGTATTCGATGCTTATCTCAAAACCATTCGGATCACGTTCGAATTATCAAATTGTTTTGTTTTTGTCTTCTTTTTTTTCCCACTATTTTTTATCGGTTTTTTCGATACATATTTGCGGGTACAAACAAAAAATAAATATTTAAAAAAAAAATCCCGCGCTCGCCCAGGTGTCCGTACGGACGACACACATAATATTAAATCGGCGTAAATTCCCACGGGAAACGTGATGGGTTCTCGTGGATGACGCGCGCCAATACCGTATGACGTATACTACGATATTATTATATTGTACATAGGCATGTCTGCAGACGGAGTGATCTTTATATTCCGGGTCCGGTCTTGGTGTGGTTTTTTTTTTCGGGACCGTGATCTCGGTGCAGATATAATGCAGTTACAGTATATAATATTGTTTGTATACTTTTTCCGGTCATTTTTGTGTTTCAATAAGACCGCGTACCAATAACAATAATAATCACCGGAGTTGACATTTAAGTAGCCACAGTGGCGTTCGTCCCGTCTTTGTCTATCAGTTGTATAGGTATAGCTATAGCAAAAGTAAAAAAATCTCTTTTTTTACAACCGTGGTCTTAGAGACAAAATACCTATTACAGAAATATTGACAACATCACGAAGACAACAACTTTTGGCGTTTTACAATTATAAAAATATTCAATACTCAATAATACGTATTATATCAATGCGTGTCAGTATTTTTTTTGAATAACTGTAAATTTTTTAATTATTAATATTTCAAAAAAATTCGGCGACCAGGTTGTTTTTGAAATGTTGTCTTTTACAATGTTTATAATAAACAATAGATTTATCGCTTTAAAACTGATGTTAAAAGCCCTATAGTGTACACCTCCTTCCTACTTCGCCTTCAACGTACACGCGATTTTTTTCCCTTGTTGTTGTTTTTTTTTCTGGACTAAACACGTATGTGCCGAGAACTACCATAACGGATTTCCCGCGTAGACATACGCGCTTTGTCGGCTGTGGCGGCTGCGGATGTTATTGATTTGTCAGGCACCAATACGCACGATAGGCCGAGAAAATGTTCTGTTGAACATTTTTTTTATAACACGTGCGTTAAATGATTTCCGTTATCGTCTGTGAAAATAATACGTTTTCAATATTTTACGCGCAACCGTTTGTGAATTTAATAAATTATTATTTTATTATAATGTACGCAGTTCTCGAATTTGAGGCGAATACTGTGGGACGAACTTCTCTACTGTTTTTTTCTTTTTTATTAAAGTCTTCTTATTACTTATAATTTCTGTGGGGTAAAAGGACGGTATGTTTCTTTTCGGAAATAATAATATTTTTGAAAAATATGTACTATCAACTCGGATATATCCATATATAATATTAATAGTGGTAATGTAAACAAAATATATATTCTAAATTCATTTTAAAATTCCTTCCTATCCAACCAGGTCTCCTGTTCCTTTTAAATTATAAAGTCGTCCACATCACTATAATTATGGTAGATATACGGGTTTACCCGATTGATCTAATTTTGGCAATGAGTATCCCCACTTAATCTAGCTTTTAGTTAGACCGTTAATATTATTTAGTGTCTGTATATTTTACTCCATTATAGCTGTACATTATTTTAATTATACATGAAATTGCAAGTATGAGTATACGTGTAACGTACTCTAACGTGAGTATGTATTTAAATTAAACTTTGCGAATTATATTGGACTTCAGGCTCGTAATTATATAAATCAAATAAATATATGTTAGCAAAAACGTAGTATTTTTTTTGTAAATTACATATTGTTGAATTATGTTTGAAAAGTGGTGTAATAGCCAATAGGGTTGTGGGAGCGTAGCTCCTCGCGAGTTAAGTTGTCGAGTTCAATAATTGTAAGGGACGCTAATTTTTCTTTTAACAGTCTATATTACGGGCAAAATACATATCATTGTATAATTCAATAAAAGATCCGCCTATATAATGTGTTCAAGACGATGTTCTCGGTAGAAAACATAAAACGACCGAAACAACACTTTAAGTCGTATAATATTGGACGTAGGTATCGGGCGACACTATCCGTACACATTTTGTACATAAATTCTAAATTCTTAGCTAAACAGATGCATCTGCCGTGGTTAAATTATTACAGATGTTTTTTGACATTTGCATTTGCATACCTATACTCAAACCTAACCCCCGCAATCTGTAAAACACACACGTCATGTAAATACAATATAGACATTAAATTTATACATAGACACTAATATAATCCGATATGCATATTACATTTATACGCGCACGCTAGAAACTACAACTCCATTATGAATTCCAAATGTTCGATATTACGTATAACATATATTACACAAAATTTTCTCTGGCGTTACACGAAAATCAAATAAGTATTATACTGTTTTGACGCGGGACATTCGAACGGTTATTTGGCGATTAATTTCAATATAAACTGCATCGTCTGCGCGTGCATACGAATTTACATAATCCGTCGTTTGACCTATGATGACCGTTCTTGCATAATGTATACCTGCACGGCAGTTGAAAGAATAATTCACCGCGTGGCTGAAAAAATAGAAAATAATAATACATACATGTATAGAATAATTTAATGACTTGGTGCAGCAACAAGACTATAGTCCACTTTTCTAAATTGTTTAAAAAAAAGAAAAAAACATCTATGGAACTTGCCTTCTTTTTCCACAGAATTCTTTTGAACCAGACAATCCTTATCAATATTTTCTCCATATCTAGAAGACGGACTTACATAATTGTTGCGCCAAATTATGTAGCGTTTATTATTTTACACGAAACTATCGAAAAATAATTTTGGACTATCCTCGTTGTTTTTTTTCAATATTGTAATAACTGCAATGTACAACAAGTCGTAGAAATAATCGAATCGTATAACTTATTAAATGTTTTATTTATAAAACCTTTGCTTAGAAAATATTATTTGGTAATTAGAAGTACAACCTATTGTAACGTATATAATATAGTATGTGTTCCTAGAACAAAATTTAGGACTAAGGAAAAGTCATATTTGATGGATGTGAAACGTTCAAATTTTAATATGGATTTAGTCAAATTGTGAAAAAAATCAACAACAAACTTGGGTACTTACTCCCGAATAATCTTTGGGTAAGGCATTAAGAGGGAGTACTTAACAATTGATGGACATTGGCGCCAAACGGCTTAACATAGCTCTGAATAGACGTATCTGTACTTCAACTTTTCCGTTAAGGTAATATTATCTGGCGATAAAGTGCCATACACATCATAATGCCTCTTAGGTCACGAAGTAATTTATCCTCGTATAGGATATCCATTCACGCGGTTACTGAATTTAAACGAGTTAGACGCGATTATGTTGTAAAATGTGTATGTGTATACGACTAAAGTACAAAACGAATCGATAGGTACTTATTTATACGAAATTCAACGTTTGCAAATCGTCAAACGCGTGGGCGTCTAAACTGCCTAAAATCATTAACCGCGGGTAGATAACAGGTATAGGAAATAATATTTTATCGCGTATACCTATCGTTTTTTACGACCCACGTATACATTTTCGGACTCTCGAAGTTTAATTCTGTAGTTTGTAAGCAAACGGGTTGCACGGTTTTAATAAAAATAATAATATATGTTATGGGTACCCACCATTTTTTTTATCGTTTTTTATTATTATTTTTTTTTTTTGGCCAACATCTGTGCATCGTTTATTCCCATGCAGGGCCTACACTATCCGTGATTTATTATAATATTTGTTGTATTCCCGTAGTTTTGAACCTATAATATTATGATGGGCCTGTACCGTTTTCGATTTTTCAAATATATTATTATTCCTGTCGTCCTCTTCACCGTATCTACCTCGTCAGGCGTGTAAACGTGTCCATTATTATGGACGAGCCACAAGGTTCCCCAAATGTGAGGAAAATATTTGTTTTTTTATTTTATATATTTATAGTATAATCAATCCTCGATGAAACACTAGTTATCTCGGAAAGGATTTACTTTTTTGATTTTATTTTTTTTTAACGACTTATAAAACAAATAGCTGTACATTGCCGTTATTTGTTGTTATTTTTGTTTTCGGGGATGAGACCATCGCTCATTTTCGATTTTTAAAAACACATTGAAAAACGCTATAAATTGATGACCTTTTAGTTCAAAAAAATATGGAAATGTTTTATTTCCGCCCTGTACATATTATGTGCACTGCGGAATGTCTGAACTCTGAAGTCACTGGTTTCCCGATACACCGGTATGGGCAGCAGGTTTTGCGCGTAACTGTTTGTTATGGTATTATTAACGTTAACGGCTTCTCTTGCATTTTTTCTTCTTTTTTTAATTTTATGCAATATCACCGCCTTCCGGACATTTCACGCGACAAACTATATACTTTGCCCGCGTTAGTGTCCGGCCTTCCGTTGCTATACATCGGAATAAACCGACGACGGCACAACCGATCGATTTGAACGCGCGGAGGCGTTATAAAAATATTATCTTTTACAAGAACACGCACTTGTTACCGCATTGGCGGCCGTTTTTCTACATACATTATTATACACGTCGGTCGTTCAGTTTTATTATTATTACCTACTGCGGCGGCGGCGGTTTTCGCTCTCTCACTCTCTTTCTCTATCTCTCTCTCTCTCTCTCTCTCTCTCTCTCTCTCTCTCTGTATAATATATAATATAGAGACTCCCGCGTACCGGAATGTTGATACTGTATTAATATTACCGTCCCGCGGCTATGTCAGACGCATATTTAATCATATTGAACTTTCCAAAAACACGAAGTGCTCTGCGCCCGCCACTCCCGCGATCCGCGCGAATCCGTTTTCGGGGTTCACACGGCCGCGATCCATTTAGGCCGTTTCCGATGAGCATACAAATTACCATTGTGCACACTACCAGGTATCGACCGTCAACCGAGTAGGTCTTCTATATACTTATACGTACCGAATCCTAACGTAATAGTAGTCTTCACGAATGGAGAGCAAAGGGCTAAGAGTCTCTCACTCCCAAACAAATTTGCCATAGTAATATATTCATTAAAGTGATGGCACTCGTCATGCCATTTTTGTGTGAAAGACTTAAAATGCCTAACGAAAATTGAGGTACTTCTTGTGGTTCAATTTTAAAAATGTAAAGATGTATATGAGTTTTTAAACAAGTTTACACGACAAATATACTATCATTATTATTTACTTTGCATCAATCGAAGCATATACTTGTCATTATTAGCATTTTTTGAAATTAAATTATTTATCATCGAAAACTGACAAATTTATAAACATTTCGAACGTTTTATTCTCATAAAAATGTGGTTTCGCCGATTTAAAGTAAACTTTTTATGAATTCAAACGTGAACCCTTTTTTCACTACATTTTCGTGTTTTGCGCAAAAACCGATTTTATTGATCAAATCAGTATCATTATGAAAGCTAATCGCGAACAGCCCCCCCTCAACTTTTTCATCAAACAAACTCATAACTATAGGTAAAATAAGTTTTATCTATAACCGAATTCTTGCCTCTCGAAAAACTTTTTAAGTTTTGCTACAGAAAATGCCGAAATCCTGCAGGCTAGGTCGCTGATCATGTAATATTGATTTCGTCACCTTGCACACAGCCCTGTAGGAGTGTATAGGTTTTTTGCTATTGTAAAGATGATTGGTCTTATGACTTTTTTTTTAATAAAATAAATATTCGATAAACATACGATGTACAATATTATTATCGAAAAACACATCGGATTTCTAATCTGATAAATATCGTCGTGTTTTATTATCAAGGAACACGCGTGGCCCGCAGAGACTCGGTGTGTCATCGCGTACGCGCATCACGCACGTGATAGTACGATAACGGATCGCCAGTCCGGAAGGCGGTGATATTGCGTAAAATTAAAAAAGAAGAAAAGAAGCAAGAGAATCCGTTAACGTTAATAATATATTATTATTATTATATAATATAATAACAGACAACTATGCGCAAGCATTGTCGGCGGGGGAGTTGGCGGGATAAAAATTCATCGGACTTGGCTATTTCAGTAGAAATTCTCAGACTTCTAATTAAATATTATTGTTTATTAGACAGTTGGCCGCCGCCGGTCGTTGTATTATTATTATTATTATACGCCGTCGATTATCATTGTTATCGTTTGTCGCGTCTCGAACACATGCCTCTTTATAATTATATAGAAAGATACGAGTTTTATACGCGTGACGGGGAAATAGCTGGATAAAAGTATTTCAGTGTAAAATATCGTGTACAAGTTTTTTCTTTACACTCATCAAGAAATAAGCTACAAGTTTATCTTTACCCAATCTAGAAAAATATGTCAACACCTGTTATTCTTTAAGCAGTTTGTTTATAATCACGGTAGACTCATTATTATTATTTTTTTATTTTTTTTTTCACCGGCTTACGGTCTGAGTACGAGAAGCGGCCCAGTAAGCATTTGTTCACACATGTCCACCGAGTCAGTCTGTCTCTGCCAACGGGCCAAACACTGACAGTTGATTAAGCGAAAAAAAACAAATTTGGTTTGAAAATTGTTTTTTCTTTTCCTTGTATCGTCCTCCGAATACTATACATTACACTCGTATAATGCCATAGGTGTAGTGTACGCGTTAATGTACTTCGTTTATACACTAGCATTTCACGCGCAGACACGTAGGAGGTCTCGAGGTAGATCCAATCAGGAATCCTGAGGAAGATAAATTAAAAAAGAAAACGTTACTACAGGGGGGGCGGGTGCAAAATGTCGCATCTCACTTTTTTCAACTTCTAATCTCTTTGGGCGAGTGGACGATGTAGAAACAAGACATGATCTCAACGACGCAACCTGAATTGAAATACGGACCTATTTTCGTTGCGCCAAATGATATAATAATATAATTTATAAATCTATACATTTTTAAACTAATACTTTTCCACATCGTTTTAGATTCTGCGAGTAACGCGAAGCGTTTTTAGTTTTATCAAGGTACGTCGGTGCGTGTTTTTTTTTTTTGTCGAAAAGTTTTCTCGTTCCACGACGTTTACTTTGCGGATCTTTCTATACCGTCGGTACTTTATTCGAACGTTTCTCTTGCTATAGGTTAGTTTTCCTAAAACAAAAAATTCAAAAATCCCGACGACAAAAACTGTCGACGTTTCGGTTTTCTTTGTTTCACCGATCGGAAATCCGCGGTGGCACGCGGGCAAGAGACGTATTAATTGACGGTACGGCGGAAATTTATTCGATTTCTCGGCGGACCGGTCGCCTTTTTTTGATCTGCGACAACGGCGAAGACGGTGGCGGCCCGCGCAATAACCCGCCACCGCCGCCGCCGACTTGTACCCGAGACACAATTTATTCGTATTTTATACCGCCGCCGCCGTTTAAATTGCGTTCGTCGTTTGCTCGCTCGCCGTTCGTGTTTATAATAATATTTTATAAAACCGTCTTCGTCGTTTCGTTTGGTATTCCGACATTGTCGCAACTATATATATACACACATACGTTTCATGCCCATGCGACGGCCGCCAGAGTTCCCATTAAATTCCCCGGCCGCGCGCAAAGACTTTGCGTACCTACCTGTTGTTTCGGTTTTCGGTCGAAGGTCGCGATTTTTCTATGTTCAACCGGTAACCGCGCGCACTTCTTCGCGTTATTATGTCATTAAAATATCGTATCATTATCACGCTGCAGCCGGTACTTGTGGCACAGACTGCGGTTCAGCGGTTCGAACTCCTCGCAATGTCCGCTCGTAAACGCGGCCCGACCCGTAGGCACCCACATAGGCATGCCTACGTAATAGGCGTGAAGTGCCCGCGCGCGCCGAGATTCCCGAGACGACGACGACGTCGACGATTATTCGGAGCGTTCGAGCGGCGATGGCAGACGTCTCACCGCTCGCTCATTACCGATTTAACGTTCAACCGGGCACGTCGCCTTAAATTTAATATCACATTTGATTTGTCGCAGTCGGAAACACGGGGTTTTCGTACGGCGCGGCGTCTCGCGGTCGTCGGCTCCCTGGAGCGCGTTTCCGTCCCCGCGCGTTACACGTCCGTATTAGGCCGTGTGTATACATACAGACGTGTATCGTCGGGTGGTATAGTCGACGAGTCAAAAGCGCAACTGCCGGCCCGGCGATCGTTACGTACGATATTTTATGTAATCACGCGGTCCGGCGAATTTTCCTCTCGGAACATCCAGCGGTTCGAAATATTTCGAAAACAAATTATTACGGCTCGTAACGCGCTATAAACAACAGCTAGTATAAACACCGTGAAATGTTTGACAGTGTGTTTTTTTTTTGTCCGAGCAATTTTTTCTACCGCGAGTCTTGTTCCGATCAAAACATGACAAGATACAATGTTTATTGAATACAATTGTTGCGTTGGAGGGGGGAAGGAGATCATCGGTTCGATTTCCCGTGAAGTTTTCTTAATCGTTTGCAAAAAATTACGGCACTTCAATTTATGTATTACTGAACTGCGCTCGGAATCGTCTTTCGTCAATCTATGGTTTATCATTGCTTACGGATATAAATGAAATAACCTTATGTATTCTACATTCTCAACGTCTCTCATACAACAGTGGCCGCTCCCCATCCCCAATATCAGCTCTTTTTGTTTTGTTTTTATTTGGTAGGAATTGCATATGTATAAAATTGTTTGATCAAACAAAAGTGCTTGAAGATTTAACACGAGAGGTCTATTATAAATTGTATTTGTTGATAAATAATAACAAAAACTAAAAATTTGGACGAAAATCGTAAAAAACGACGGCATTTAAAAACATGTATACAACCGAACTTGGCTCAGAAACGTTTTTCGTTAGCAAAGGATTATCGTTCCGTACAGATATAAACTCTGTATATCCTATATCTTCCTGATTTCCCGCCTACAACAATAGCACACTCGTCCTCTCAGTAACAGCTCATTTTTATATATATACTATACCCAAACGGGATATTTTGTACGGGGGATATCTTGAACTGAAAGTACGAGTATATTTTCCGAAAGCGTACCCGTTGTAGACTACGGTGCTCGGATTTTATAGCATTCGCTAATTATTATAAGACACAGATACAAATAGCAGAATGAGCTTTACATTTGTTTTGCGCGCCAGACTCCAAATATGAAATTTAATATTGCTATTTTTTGCATATTTTAGATTTTTAGTATCTCGTAGTGTTTTGATCGGACCAAGAATCGCGGTAGAAAAGTTGCTCGGACAAAAAAAAAAAAAAAGGTCTTTTTAACCGTTTTTCATGTTTTCGCGCAGACATAGCTTGTTTCAAAATTTGTCGGGTCATATTATAGCGGATATTTCGGCTTTTTTCAGTGCTACAAAATCCGAGCCCTGGCTTATAATAAATAAACGATCGGATAATGAACAACGACCCGCGCGGCACAATACCGCAACATAATGTCCGCGGCGGCTCCCTCCGATCGACGGAATTACGAAAACCGATCTCGTATGGCGCGCATTGTAATAGAACAGGGGACGTGTACGATCGGCCGCCGTCGCGTCGACCGTAACCGCGGCGGCGATCGATAATCGATGCGTTATATTACATTTAGACGTCGCGTTCGTTTAATATAAAATAGGAATACACAAACATTCCGTTTCCCGTGTAGAACATTGAGTCGGGTCGTGTACGCGATGACGGCGGCGACGGAAATAATGAGCAAGATAGGAATCATGTCTCGTCCCCGCGCGACGCTATTGTACCGGTTCCAAAGGGGCCACCGGGTTAACGGCGGCGGCATGCGCCGCGAATCTAATGGCCGTACACATACGCGATGTGACAATATAATATAATATTCGTTTAACGAGGTCGTAATGCGTCGTCTTCGCGTTTTCGTTTAATTTTGTATTTATCGTCGAACGAAATAATATCTATAATATTATATTGTAATAACGTCGTCCGTATAACAACGACCGGCTCGCCGCCACCGCGGACGTCGACCGCGCCGGGTTTGCCGCGCGAACCCGAGCCGTTTTCGGATAAAATTATTATATAAATCTGAAGACGCGAGCGCGCCGAACCCGATACTTTATCGTGAAAACACGACGGAATATTTATTTTGTTTTTGTCGTACCGCCTCGGCTGCTCTCGCGTCACATTTGGCGGCCTCTACGCGAGGAGCCAAGCGTGTTGTGAGCGTCCGGTTTTTCCCGGTTTTACAATATATTAGCCCGTCGAGTATTTTCTAGGCCGACTCTTTGATTCCGGAAAATGGATCTATGGAGCTCTGATGTATAGAGCGTAGGCGTGCCGTCTTTTCCGAAAGGAAATTTCGTCAAATCGGCGATGCATATTTAGAAGGTCATTTTTTGATTTTCCAATGTGTTTTCGTATAATAATTGGGAAAAAAAATTACCGGAACAACGGCGTAAATATTTGCCGTTGTTCCGGTAAAAACATTTAAGCCGCTTTTGAGCTAACTATAGGAATTTTATATTGGCGTGTTTTTTACGTAGTTTTTGTTGGGTAGATTTTATACAGATATAATTGTTTGACTAGAAATGTGTGAACATTTAACAGGAGTTCATTATAAGCCATACTTAGTGGTCAACAAATAAAAAATTAAAAATTGAGTGAAATGTAGTATTTCTTTTATTAGATTTTTAGTATGAAATTTTAACGAAAAATCGTAAATATTGGATATAATAATAATTAATGTTGACCAAACGTATACGTGTGGGGAATCGCGCGTCGTATTTACACACACACACACATGCGCGCGTGAATGTCCTAGCACACTTTCCATACATTCGTACACGATATAATAATATACTGTAATTTTTTTTTTTTTTTTTGACAGATGTATTGTACAAGACGTATTATACATAATATAATGTATAGGTACACGTCATATTATTATCGGTGCACCTATAAATGCACGGACGCGACGACGTGATCGAAACAATATTACATTAGGTGTATATAGCTACCGTTAACGGTAAAACTAATCGCGTATTTTTTTTTTTTTTTTAAACGTTAAAAAAAAATAACGCGATCTAAATTCGTACCTATATAATAATAATATACATTCCGGACGTATACGATATTATTATTACTATACGCGAGTATATTTTACACGACTCCTTGGGTAGGTACTCCTCCGTGTAGTCTCATAATATTATATACAGGTAGGTAATAATAACATACGCTTGTCGGACTTCGCGGTAACCACCGTGGTAGATACGAAAATTACGGACGTTCCAAAACGACTGCAGAGGTACCTATATCATCATAGTACTAGACGAATATCATTATTATAACGACGGGTGTTTCGTTCTTGTCGCGCGTCGAAATCACCGCGAGGAAAACGACGGCCGACTAATCGTAAGCACGTATAGATAAATAATATGTTACGGTTAACGATGTGGAATCTGTTAATATTTTCACATTAACCGATTTCGCGCAGTTATATAGTATTAACATTACGGTGTATCGGACGTCTGTTATCAAAATTGAAGGTAAGAACATAGTATAATGTTTTTCACGATCGATTTTTCGATATTTTTCAGGTCGGCGATTTAATTACGATATAGTAATTGTAATATTTCACACGTTCGTAACACGTTTAAAAATATTATAATACATGGGAGGAAAAAAAACCGTACAGAAATAGAAAAATAATGTTCTTACCTTTAAGTTCGACCCTATAGCAGAGGCGTTATTTTGGGGGAGGGCAGGATTATGCATTTTACCGACCCTAGATTTTAAAGTAGCTTTGGGCCTTTAAGTGTCTAGAATGGACGGGTTATGTATGTCGAGCGGAGGAGAGCATAATTCAGAAAGTACTGATTAACAAACCAACTGGCAAATGTCCTATGGGAAAACCTCGGCAACGATGGCCAGATAGAGTAAATGTAGTTATAAAAATGGTAGACGTAACGGCAAAACTCATAACTCGAAACAACTATTGACCGTGATAAATGGTGGAACTAAGTACAAGCTACAAAAAGCCTCAATGGCCTATCAAGCAATAAAAAAAAATCTAGCTTTATATACTTATTGGGTCAGTTATTATTATACCTTACCTTAGCAAATATTGAAATGACTCCCCAGTCCTATAGGCGTATACATTCTAATATTAAAATACTATAACAACACAAAATCGGTTTTTGTATACAAACCTCACCGTAACATTTTCACGTTTAACCGCGTTTATAATCTGTATTTATCAGAGACGTGATGTTTATACCACATCTCTGGTTACTGCGTGGCTCGTGAATTCCCACGAAAAAGGAATATTTGGGCGGGGTCATCGCTACACTACGTTCGGATACATTTCGATACGTACATCTAGAAATGTAGAACGCGTTTGGATATATATTACTATGCATCATAACTTCTAATCGTTTAAGTTTTTCGGTCTGTCCAACTAGTATTGCCTTTCTAAGAGATCTTCGCCATGTCTTCGATATATTCCTTTTCATAACTATATATTTTAGGCACAGTTCACCGCTTGTCTGCGATATAAAATTTGTTCTAGATTTTTTCCGTATTATTCCTTCCTACAATATGTGTATAAGACCATTGCACCTCAAAGTACGACTTAGTCATTGTAGTTTCCCCCCTTTTTATGGTATCCGACACGTTGTCCTTTAGCGCATTTACTTGTTGCACTAATACTCGATCATTTGATACCTTATCCGTTCAGTTAATCTTTTGCGTGCGTAACTAAAATAATCGCTACAGTTTTTCATCGAAATTTAGGTGGGTACGAGGTAAGACTAGACGGATATATTTGTCGATATTATATTGTAATAATATTTGAACAAAATCAACAAAAAGAAAATTTGAATACGTCATAAATCATATAATATATCATATTATACACGTATTACGTATACGTGTAATCGAATAAAACGAGCGGAGTGGGTGGTTCAGAAAAATGTTGGCTACTTCGGTGAACGTAATATAGTCCAACTCGCCACTGACCCGATCGTATTGAATTTCGGGTGGATTTGTACCGAAACGTGTTGGCGGTTATCCTTATCTATACCTATCTCAGAGATAATAGAACAATAACAATAACCTTATCGATTATGATCGTTTAACGGCATCCGACCTCCAGAAGTGACGAATGCGATCGATGAACGCATTCGTATACAAGTACCTAGGGGGGGGGGACCGTTGCGGTGCGGCGACGATTTATACGCTGCGGTTGCTGTCTTGGTCGCGGTGACACGGCGACCGTGTTTTTTTTGTTTGTTTTCTTTATTGCTCCCGTATAATATTATGCTAATAATAATGACTTGTCGTTATCATAACATTATTATCATACAATATACGAAAACGTACCCGGTTTAGCGATCGGCCGCGATAACGTTGGCATATAGGTAACGTTTCGATTGTAAAACCGCGCGATCGCCCGCAGTGGACGAAATCCGTCGCGTTTCTAGCAAAGTAAAAAAACAAAAAAAATAAAAAACCTCTCGAGCCCGTATAAAAATAATATTACGTGTTTATTTTTTTTTTCTTTAAGCCCAATCTCCGCGTTATCCGCCCACCGTCATCGTCGTCGTCGAGTCCTCGGCATTGTATTATTATTATACTACGGCTATAATACGTATACATAATATGATTATAATAGCTACGTGTATTATTATAACACGCGACCGCCATCACGTCTCCGGACGATCGTTTATCATATTATCGTATTTTTTTTTTATGTAAAGAAGGCGAGCGCAGATATTAAAAAAAAAAAACATATTATACGCGTCGCAATATATTATATTAATATCTTCGTTTTGTCGTCACAGCACCGACGCGTGAGTATTATAGGACGCGTACAGCTGCGGTCACTCGCGGGTTCGATTAAAATCGGTAAAGAAGGATTACCTATTAAAATTCCTAGACTCGCAGGCGCGATCCCGACTCTATAACATAACCCCTTCGTATATATTATTATTATAATATCGTGTCCGTGTATAATGTGCAACATTCCGGACCCGACGAAAACTCGCCGAGCGGTATATTTTACAACGGATGTTCACGTATACCGCGCGCACTCTTAACGGTTGTTCTTCCGAAACGCATTTGCGACTTGGAACGAGAAAAAAAAATGCAAATATACGGTTTCGAAATAAATTATCGGGTATAATAATATATAGACTATATTATAATGTTATAGACATACGGGCCGAAACGGGTTTTATTTTTTTTTTTATGCGCATTGGACGCGTATACAGTATGTTATAGGCGGGCGGGTGTACACACTCAATTTCAGTCGGCTTAAAAATAATAATTGATAATACCAAATAAACAACGGGCAACAGAGATTAACAGAGGAAGGAGAAGAAAAAAAAAAGTTTCGTATTATTCTTTTTTCGATTTTACCGTTGCAATAATACGATTTTAATAATACACAGTGTTATACATAATCTTATTATTATTATTATTATTATAGTTATGTTTGCCTAGTAGCCGTTCATGCCCGTTCTCCGCGGTTAAGTCGCGTATGTTTATATTAATAATACAGGTACCTACCACGGATACCTTTTATAACCGCACTATGCGCATCGTGCACTCGTAGGTATTATATTGTTGTTCCGCCACTATAAACACTCGGCGGCGGCAGTATCATTATTAATTAACACCACGTCCCCGCGACGACGTCATATTTTATTCGCGTTATACAAAAGAAGCACGTATAGGTCCGAGTGTGTATAATATTATTGTTATTGTTATTACGATCTCCGTCAACATCACCGTCTTCATTGTGCGTTCTCCGTTATCATATTTTATAGGTAGCCGTAATATCATTGTTCCGTTAAACGCATTGCGCGCCGGTGGGCGTCATTCCGACATTATTGACACCACTGCAGTATAATCGGCGAAACGTACCCCGAAACGACCTATACTATCTGTTACTCAATAACCGCCCCGCCCCCCCTGATGGTTCCCCGCGATTTTCCCCGTTCGCGATACATCCCGATTTGCTCTCGTCTATTTTTCACTCTATCAACAAACGATAAACGGAGTTATAGTTTCGTATCGAGCACTCGCCCAAACCTAAACCGTAAGAAAATCTAAAAGCGACCGCATTCATTTCGCCACTGATTGATTAAGTCTGCGACAAACTTATATTTGTCGACTGAAAGATAGAGATATAATGAGAGTGATTTAACTACCAAAAACATAAAAAAGTCGATAAAATATTTTGTATTTCCCATTTACTAGGAAGGAAAAGAATGATTTAACCCCATGTCAAATGAACGTTTTAATTTTTTCGCAAAAATAATCAATTCTGAAGTTAGATTATTTTATATAATATGCACTTGCACAGTTATAGGTATTATATTATAATTCTTAAATATAAATTGTAAAATAATGAGCGTTCATCATGAAACGTAATTTCAAACGCGTTTCGTTATTATCGGTCAATATAAATGATAATTTAAAACGTAATACTAAGACGAATTATTTTAGCATAAAATAAAATTAACATTCAAATTGCAAACCTGTTTGTTACGTATTTCCAGAAATATTTATATTATAGGTTCGCACATTAAAAACGTTGTAAGGTCTATTGTGTAGGCAACTTAAATAACATACTCGTACGACATTTTTGGATTATGCGATCAAATTAGCACTATAAAAAAATATAATAATTATAGATCATTTTATGAATACGAAAAATAAATCTAAAACACGCACGGGATGTGTTGCGTGTTTATGGAAATTAATACAAATATATGATTATCTACCTAACGTCTTTATGCGATATCATAATATTGTTATCATACAGTTGGTTTTATAATAATCATATTTTGTATTATTGTTTTTTAAATAATTGTATTATAATATACTAGAAATTGTACTTGTTTGTTATCACCCCCTCACTCTTGTTTGTTATCGAAGCGATAACAATGTCGATCAGTAAATTATCACGTATAATAATATTAAACACAATATAGTACAGTTCCAAAATTTCTTAAGATCTTATCTCATTATCTTATAGTAATAAATAAATAATAATAGCAACAACATAGACTGACAAAGCCGCTTGCTGACATATAGTTACTAATAAGTTACCAACTTTCTACTATAACCTAATGAAAAATTGCACGTACAATTAATTTTACCTAGTTAATCACCGTAGTATTGGCCGAGAAACCAAAGCTCGCTTCATAATGTATGTGACTGATTGGTCGGAAAAAACATTGTTACTCGCCAATTATCATACGGAAATATTTAAGACCAGAATTTATAATTTTTTCTATTTGTTGAAACAATTTACAATAATCTGGATACTATCATCCACACTCATAATTTCGTTGATCCGAGCACAGGAATACACTCATACATTGAATACACTCAAATCATCGGGAGGTTATGAGATTTTGCTATAAATAAAGAAATAATAAAAAGCGTTGTAAATAATATCAATGGAGACAACTTAATAAGCAAAATGCATTTGAAATTTTTTTCAAAGATATATCTGCGAATTCTGGCCACCATTATAATTAAATACTTAAACATTGAGTTTTTATTATATATTTCCAATAATCCTATATTTTTTGATTTTTTTTTTTTAAAATTTTAATATTATTAGATGTAGCAAGACATATATTTTAAAAACTGTACTAATCTTTATTATGTTTGTTGTATTGTTGTGTACGAATTTCACATTTTTTATTCACGCGTACACGTACATATTAATTCATGTTTTCAATCGAGACCTCTACGACCATAAAATGTAACTACTTTGCCATACAAGGCACGTCATCCCAGACGGTTTTTTTAAATAACCACTACCGTGCATATAGGTACACATGAGTATACGTCATACTCTACAGCAGCTAGTGTTTTTCTTATTCGCAACGAACTATTGAAATGTTGGTCCTTTATTTTGTATAATATTATAATACAGGTATATAGTGTGCGTGCCATGAAAATTCCGTTACAGTAAAATTGTGTGTGTGTGTGTGTGTGTGTGTGTGATATTCGATATCACCGAAATATTATTATAATCGGATCTGCGAGGCGGTGGACAACTTACGCTCTTTTGTCGGTCATTTCAATGTCCCATATAGGTTTACCTCATTATTCATTAATACACGAAAACTCGTTTTTACAACGGTAACTTTATTAGTTGTTTTTTTTTTTTTTTATCGTTATTAGGTATAGTTTTTATTATTTGTTGGCCATTTCTTTTATTTATGCATATGGTTTTTTGGCGTAACATTACCACCGGGTTTAAATTGATCTCCTCCGTACGATACGGTCTAAGAAATGATCAAAAACCACTTATGTATATGTGTGTGTGTATGAGAATCAAGTGGTCAGGGTTCAACGTCCCTAGGCCACTATATAGAATGTGGCAAAATGTCAACCGGATTTTCACGAACACAAGCGCGTGCATATATACCTGTTCTTTAGGACTCTAATACATTCGGACCAAATAGAAAAAAAAAATAACACTACACAGATCTACAATAACAATAATAATCGATTAATCGTGATAAAATAAGAAATAATAATAACACGTATGTGCACGAACACCGTGTGCATTAGACCGTTAGAAAATAATATATAGGTATTTATGTTGTCTATACATAACTGCATCGATTATACTTATAAAATTCTCTATCTGCACGTAGCCTATAGAAACCCGCGTACCTATTACCTACCCATAGTAAAATCTTTAGATATAGGTATAGCATTAATTAAAATACTTAACGTTTATTAATACTTAAAATAAAATATCATGTTTTTATTTTACATAACGGGTCGAACTCAAATATTAAGTATATGTATATAGAAATAATATTATTATAATATTCATATGCAAAATTTTTTAATGCTATTAAAACTCGAAATGCCTATAGTGAATGTTAATTTGTGTGATCGATTTTTTCATTGAATGTGACTATCGGACATTCAGATAAGGTGACTGATTTATTACGATCAAATGGCTTTTAATGTTTTCCTCGTCAGAGTTCGTTAACCGAAAAACAACTTGCACGCGAAACTGGGAAAACTTGTATATTATGTTAACTTAATGTCATTGTACTAAGATTTGTTATACAAAGTATAATGAACCGAAAAGAAAATATAAATTATAGGGACGATATTTTGCCGAATATATACTTGTATATGAACCGGTTTTATGGGACGACAAATTTGGCATAGGTTGTAAATAGTAAATAGTATAGGATTACCGTATTATGTATATAGATTTACGCAGTTATATATCCTTTTAGTTACTAAATCCAAACGAGATAACATGTTCAAATTTTATGGTATAGATTATCATTTTTATTTTCAATTATTTATGTTTGCATTTATTATACACGCATTAAATATATATTTAATTTTTTTTCAGAATCGCCGAAACCGGTTGACGATAAATATAGAAGCGAGTTTGAAGAATACATGCGTCAACAAATCCAACAATGGCAAATCGCAGTTGTAAATGGCCAACAAGTCTCACCACCTGCGGGGTCACAACCTTCTGGACAGCCTCCATCAAGTGTATGGATTCAAGTCCCGGCTAACGGATATTACCCTCCGCCATCATACCCATATCCGTCGTATCCTCCCCAACAATACCCATCACCATACCCACCTCCGTCTTACCCACCGCCATCTTACCCATCACCCTCATACCCACCGCCATCCTATCCACCTCCTTCATACCCACAGCCATCGCCGTATCCTCAACCGTCACCATATCCTCAACCATCTCCTTATCCTCAACCTTCACCATACCCACAACAGCCATTATATCCACCGCAACCGGTACCAAGTCCGACGACTGATATACCCGAATTACCATCAGAAGCATCCGGAGTAATAACTCCTCAGCCAGAAGAATCGAGCAGTGCACCCCCTCAACCAGAATATCCATCCCCGCCAGCACCGGAATACCCATCACCACCAGCACCAGAATATCCATCTTCCCCAGCACCAGAATATCCATCTTCTCCAGTACCAGAATATCCATCTCCCTCGGTATCAGAAGTCCCAGTACCAGAGTCCCCTGCACCAGAATCACCTGTACCAGAATCTCCCGTTCCAGAATATTCATCATCACCAGCACCAGAAAATCCATCCTCGACAGCACCAGAATATCCATCTACACCATCATCAGAGCAAGCAACTCCGCCTCCAGAAATTGCAGATCCCGATATTCCGGAAATCACGCAAGCACCAACAGATAAGCCGTACCCGACCACTTTAAAACCCGAAGGTTCTACAGATTTACCGGAAGTTATTCCGGCATATCCGGATACACAACAACCCGAACAGCCAGGAGTACCCTTATACCCGGGACAACCAGAAGTACAGACAACTATTCAACCCGAAACATCGTCTGAAAGTTATACAGATCAACCAACTTATCCAGAAAAACCTAGTTCGGAAAATCCCGGAGAAGAACCAGAAGTCACAACAAGTACCGGAACCACATACTCTCCCGACTACGAAGTTCCGTCGTCAACCGGATCCCCATCATCAGACGTATTAAAAGCTCAATGTAAGGAGCCGAGGGGACAATTCCCGAGCGAGAGCTCTTGCAACAAATTCATAAACTGTTGGGACGAAACTGCTATCGAACAAACGTGTCCCGCGGGATTAGTGTTCAACCCGGAAAAGAGTTACTGTGATTATCCATCATACGTGGACTGTGGTTCTAGACCTATTACAGGTAAATACAATATTCCTGTATTTCGTTTTTATAAACGATTGTTTATTTTTCTACTGTGTATCACAAAATAAAATGTTTAATATATTTAAAAATTACGATTTAACGTTTATTTTTTCAGTAAACGAAACCAGNAAGCAAAGAAAACTGCGGAGCTTTTTACGTCTGTGTAGCCGGATCTCCGGTAGATTTCATTTGTCCCGGGGGCACTTACTACAACGAGGTAAATTTCAGAAACTTTAGAAGAAGAAAAAATCGATATATCATAGTCTTTTTTTTTTATTTGAAATTGTTTTTAGGATTTCAAAATCTGTGACTACCCATACCGCGTGGACTGCAAAGGATTGCCAAGCAATCCCGAACCAATTGAGACTGGAACTGAAGTCGAGCCTAACACTACCTACGCACCTGAAGTGTCGTCCGCCGGCGTTACCACCGAGGCGCAGTCGTCCACCGCGTCGTACGTACTGCTCTCTTCGGCCGAATCTTCGCCCGCCACAGAAGTGGTACCTACCATTACCACCGCCGTTGCACCTGTTGTAGCCGACCCAATAGCTATTTACAACTACAACCTGAGAAAAATCCCAGCGAGTGCGTAGTTTGTTTTACGAATTAATTATAGTGTCACCATCCCAAACCAAAACAGATTTTTTTCATTTCTAGTCACCAAAAATAAAATTTTGAGTCGACATTTCCATCGCTGTATCCCCGTCCTCTATATTTTCTCAGAGGTGGCCATTACCTAGCACATTAATAATATCACGTCCGTTTACACGTTTAGGTTTGGTGAACACCGGCGTCCGTTGTAGCCACAAGAACATTTACCGACTCACTCCTGACTGTTCTTCGGTGACCCTATGTCGTGAAGGATTCACACACATACTCAATTGTGGACACGAAACCTCCTATGACATAGTAAGCCAAAAGTGTATGGAAAGCAGAAGAGCGAATTGGTAAGCCATTAACTTTTTTCGTTTTGTCGGCCTTTAAATCAATATTTTCAATTTTTGCGATTATACAAATTGAAATGTAATTATTTTGTTTGTTTTTAGTGGTCGATCGTTCTAGATGTGGAATGAAATGAAATTGTATGCGTCTTGATACGAAAACATAAACAAACAACCTCGAACACAAAAGAAGAACATTGAAGACACTCGTTGTTTGATCAACGTTAATATTAAGTTATTTATTACGAAATACCCTCTGTATTTTTCATAAGTTTTTGTGTTTTTTTGGTATATTCTTTTTTCAAAAATCTAACGCTCTTCAAGACAAACATTTACGGAGAAAGAATATACTGACCCACAAAAGTATAATTTAATGTAATTTATTTCATTTAAAATATATTAAATAATATTCTAAAACAAATGTATCATATTATGATAGTTTACAAATATAGGTACAAATACATTGTATATTATTAGTCGATCTGATTAATCAATTAATTATATTTTAGTACCATTTATAATATTATTTTTTTTTTTCAATAAACTATAATACAATATGAACATAATATATGTATTTAATCTGAACTATAATAATACTAGCTGATCCGGCAATGCTTTGCTATTGCTACATAACAATGTAAATAATAGTAATAATAATAACTTTCTTGTCCGTGATAACCAAATTATCAATTATTATTCATTTCACCAAGGTAACTCATAAATCAACAAATAAAATTTAATTAATGTTCCAAAAATACCAAAACCCCTCCCGTCCTGCTAGCTATCACACCTGGCCTTGTCCAGGCCAACTTTTTAATTTCATACATATCACCAAGGTAACCCACGAATAAACAAAAATTAATAAATAAACAATTTTATATTCACACTAAATATACCTAAAGACCACTATTTTACCCCCTTAGAGTTTGAATTTAAAAAAATCCTCTCCTAGTGAATGCCTACATCATAATAATAATTAATAACTATCTGTCCATTGGTATGAACTAGGCGATGATGAATCAGTCATTCAGGATATGGTATTTTATTTATTTATTTGAATTTAATGGGTTTCAAAACTCAATTCCAAGTGTAATAATAGATTTACAGTGTTAAGTAATATTTAGTAAAGACACAGTATATAAAATAGATTATAAGTGAATTATAAAATAACATAAACA